ACGGGGGATTTTGTAATAACGGGAGCAACATATAGGGTGTGTTTCCTCTTCATGCTGGTTTCTTTCAAATCAGCTGTGAAAAATAACATTTTAGGGACAACAGTTCAAAGTCAACTGAGAAACTGCACGCCTTGGATATGTTAAATAGTTACATCTACTTCGTTAGTTGAACACTTAATTATTGTTTTGTATGCCATGAAATTCTTAATAAGTACACATGAAGAGCAGTTTCTGATTAAAAATGGGGTAAATATTGCTAGATTCAATAGAAAGAGACATAGATATCTTCAGAACTTATTTAAAATTCAATAGAAACATCCATTTCAGATATAGTTTCTTGCATTGTGCTTAAATGGCTGAAAAACCTGCAAATTTTGCATGGCTCATCAGAGATACATTATCATTCAGAACGCTTGTCACATATGAAGTCTACCAGAACAACTTAACATAATTAGATGTAAAGTGGAAGCATTGCTCTAGGCAAATATTTCTGTCTCATTCTCCTCTCTTTACAACAATAGTGGTTAGTCCTGAGTTCATAATGAGGAAGGCTGCTTTTGAAGTTTTTCTTTGTTTTGCTTGAGTCATGTGTTGCCTCATCCATGAACAAAATAATCAACAATCAACATGAGACTTTCTGTAAGGCTACCTAATATATGTGCATTCAGTAGAAAAGATTTGGCAATCTTTGGATTTGTACCTCTATTTTCTGCTTCAGCTCTTGTTGACCAGGACTAAAGTAAAATAATGTAAATATATTAATTATCCCCAAGAATTCCATAAATCACAATATTGGTTGGATCTCCTCCTTTCATAGAAAGAACACTGAGTGGACTTACTTACACTTCTCCATTAGTAAATCTATTAGGAAGCTCCATCAGAAATCTCTATGCTCTCATTGCAGAAAATACCCTTGTAAAAATCCTGCTACATCATCAGGTCACTCATCTGGAGTGGTGCCTTCTGCCAGAGTCACAGTGAAGCTTCTGCAGAGATGCTGGGAGTATTGACATGATCTTTGCTACACACCAATTTCAGAAATGTCAGCAGCAGAACTATGATGTTTGCTTTTATTGATCTCCCAGTGGTGCTTTATCCAAAAGGCAATTGGACTTTGTTTTTTTCTTTCTTTTGAAAATGTTTCATTTCTCATTCAAGAAACTTCTTCAGTTCTAATTTAATTCAGATAGAACTGAAAAAGCTTCTTGGATGATATGCAAAAGCTTCATTGAGACAACCATGGCCTGGATGATTGAGAATCTCCATAGACACTTTGTTAATTTCATGAAAAAATTTGAAATTCTTAGATGGCAAGGCCAGTGGAGGGTCATGTCAAATTTTAGCTGCCTCACTAAATTCATTCAGATGATATGCCATTTCCATCATGGCATAATGACCAGGGACTTCCAAAAGACCAAAGTCATGGATAGCCTGTTCCTCATGCATAGAACCCAAAATCCCTGTCAGAAATGTCAGGCAGTAACCAGTCCAATTACCTTGGGAGTACTCTCTCCTGAGCAGTAGCTATTGATGTAGAATTTAACTGCAGAATAACAACAATACATTTTGCTTTCAGTAGACTGTACTCCAATGGTGTGGGAATATCAAGGAATCAGCTCAGCTATAGAACTGAAAGCTTACAGTTTACTAGCCTTGTGTATGTGCCTGCAAACATGGACTGTGTGTCAAAGGCATGCAAGACTGATCAACCATTTCCACACCGCTGGAATTTTTGCAGGATATTAGGCATCAGATGGCAAGACAAGGTACCAGACATGAAGTTGCATGTCTACCATCAGTCATCATTTATGGACAGCCACTTTTCTGACATGGGAAGGTCATCCATGTGCTGAACAAGCACATATCCAATCAGCTTCTTTTGAGGGAACTCTCTGCCAGAAGATGGTCACAAGGAGGGTAGGGGGAACATTTCAAAGACACTAAGACTAAAGATCTCTCTGAAGTTACTTGATATAGATATAAGCTCCTGGGAAATGCTGGCACAAAACTGCCATGGCCTCATCCACAAACCTGTCATGGCCTCATCCACAAGGGCTGTCAAACTTATGAAGCAAGGTGCACTTCTGAAGCACAATGTAAGTATGAGCTGCAGAACTGTTAGTGCAACAATTGTGTCAGAGTTTGTAGTGATCCAACCAGCACACAAGCAAATAATTCAGCAGGATTAATTATATAGAACAAACTTCTTTATATACAATAATATAAAACATGATGCATGTATGCAATATCCATGCAGCTCTTGCAACGTGGTAGAGAGAAGAAATAGCAAGTACAAGTACTCTCAAGCAAAGACTCTCATATGTACAGAACCGTTAAGCTAAGCCACACCAAAGTTCCAAGCCATCTCACATGGCTCACATAACAAATCCTATGTCTCAGTCACCAAACAGTCCCCATTGGCTGATTTGTTGCCATGGCTATTCCAGTTCATGAATTCTTATACACTGACAAACTGCAGTGCCTACACATGTCTGTTCGACAGGTGTGAGTACATTCTGTGCCCAAATTAGCATAACTACTCATCTCCGGGCACAGCACATCTAGTCTTAAGATAATATTAAAAAATAAAACAAGGTCTTCACCAACAACGATAAATGTGCAACAGCCAAACTCTGTCAGTGATGAAAACAAAAAAGATCCATTCTGGAATTGGTCTGAATAAAGATTTTATTCTGTAGAATCAAAACTCTCCCATTCCCATGAAATGACCACAGAACAGAGAAAAACTGACCATCCCTGTAGCTGACATAGTTTATTCTCTTTGTGCTAGGAGTAAAAAGCTAAATTTAAAAATAATGAACAACAAAACATGTTACATGAAAAAACATACCCACCCTGGGCATCTCATAACTCAAGAAATACAACTCCATATTTCTTCCATGAAAATGTCACTTATGGCATGTACTGTATTTCTACTGGCAGAATTCTTTCCATCAACAAAACTGGGAAGCAGAAATTCCTGTTCATCTCTAATATCTCATGCACCTGAAATATCTGCTTTGGAATATCCTCAAACCTCCTCTGCAAGCTTTGAGGGAAAGCAAAGAGAAATTTCCATCATACAAGTAGAAATCTGCTTTTACTACAGGAGAACCTTGTGCATGAAGCCTATTCTTTTTACAAACCCTAATGAATAAATAGAATTGATGGATGCAGAGCTATGAAGGAAATGTCTAGAAAGTCTACTGGTCTTTGAAAAAGGAATACCAAGTCTTTGTAAATAAATAAATAAAAACAATTGACTACTCAACACGCTTCTTTGCCCAATGTGCAGGATACAAATTAATAATGTCTAAATATTCATTTTATGTTTTTTTCTTAGTGGAGGAAGAGAGTAGTTTGTAAATAGCATTTCCATTGGAAGAAATTATCAGTGTGTCTCCTTGTTTTTTTCTTAAAGGACTGGCAATTGTCCCCACAACTGTAAAATGCCACAGCAATTGATTTGTGGTGCTAGAGATAAATCTCCCATTATATGGGAAATGGCAAGAGGACTGGTTCTTCACTGGTTCTTCCAAGGAGACTGTTTCTTACCTTACATCTTGCTAACAGAACATTTAGTATAAAGTTTTTATTTCACATAAAAGTTTAAAGAAATCTGCTTGAGGTAAACGTGTCCTAGATTTGAGCTCAGTTTCTGATTATTATATTGATTTATTTTGGCCATTATACAGATTGCACTGAGTTGGAATATGGGGGAAATATAAACCAGGTTTTTTGTCTAAGCACCTGCAACACAAGATTAGGAATAATACCAACATGCCAAGGCTTGCATATTTCATAAGCTTTGGCTGAGTTCCCCTTATTGTAATGTGTATCCAGTACCACAGCCAAAATATTTTGTTTCTCCCAGTAGTCGACTTCACAGTCGGCTTCACAGTGCTTTTATAGCCCTCTCCAAGCAGTTTGTAGAGTCAGCATATTGTCCCCAGCATCCTCGGAAGGATGGAAGGCTGAGTCATCCTTGAGCCTGATGAGATTTGAACTGCCAAGTTGCAGGCAGCCGGCAGGCAGCAAAATAGCCTGCAGTACTCCTTTCTAACCACTGTGCCACTGAGGCTCTCTAGACTTTCTAGAGAAGAGTGATTTTTCTCATATCTCCCATATTATTGGGGCAGCCCGGTGGCTCAGTGAGTAAGATGGGAAGCTAGCAACCCAGACTTGGGACCCGAGTGCCATGTGATGGGGTGAGTTCCCATCCTTGTCTCAGCTCCTGCCAATCCAGCTGTTCGAAAGCATGCAAATGTGAGTAAATAAATAAGTACTTTGGTGGGAAGATAACGGCACTCTGTGACATCATGCTGGCCACATGACCGTGAAAATAGACAGCGCTAACTCAATGGCCTTGAAATGGAGATGAGAACTGCTCCCTACATTCAGCAATGACTAGCACAGTAAAATCTGTGAGGACTCCTTTTTTGAGGCATATGTTATTACATTTTAGTTTTGATAAATGCTTTTAGATATTGCAATAAATGCTGCTATTTTTAAAGTATTTGTTTGATTATTTTATTAATAATTGTTTCTTTTAGTTTGAATCTTCCTATTTTACTAAAATATTCTGGGCACAATTCTGTTTGATGAACAGTGGTATATAAAGCAAACAAAATAAATAGCATTTTACAATTTATTTTATAGTTCATCACATTACTGGTGAAAGAAATCTGAATTGATCCTTTCCCCCCCACCCCCTTTTTTTAGAAATAGGATATTTTTTGCATTGTGAAAATTTCAACACTCTGTGAGGCATTAACCATTCTATGCTTTATTGATTAAAATCTGTTGCAGATGTTAATTATGCTAATTTTCATTATTCACACAAAGCGATTTTCAGATCGTCAAGTAATTTATACAATAATTTTGTTGTTTCTCATGGGGCCTCATTTTGCTGAAAGTCTGCCTAGATTATGACCTTTGGTTTGCAATTTACAAATGTTAAATCAATGCAAAGTGATTTCTAAAAATACTCTTCTCCACAGGAAGAAGAACTAAGAAAAAGTGAGGAAGCCAAATATGCACACTTGAGTGATGAACTACATGTATTAATTGAAGTGTTTGCCCCTCCTGGAGAAGCTTATTCACGGATGAGTCATGCCCTGGAAGAAATTAAAAAATTTCTTGTTCCGGTAAGTTGTTTGCAGAGCTATTACAAATGTACAGTACATGGCAATCACTCTATTGCATTAAACACAGTACTTGAAAATCATCATCATTAGCAGATGTTGATTCCTCTTCCGGTACTGTCCACATCACCAGTTGAAGAAAATACCAACCCTTGATTATTCTGCCCCTGAAATATATTTTTGGAAATTGCCAAATGAGTTAACTGTGCTTATTAATTATTGTGTGTTGCTGCTTCTTTTGATCTCCAAGAAATGAATCCAAACTGTCAGGTGTGAAAGATCAGACCCATTGTGAAGCCCAATTGAACTGATGCATTCCTGCTCATGCCTATGTACAGGGATCTTCTCAGCTAACGGTTAGCACCTGCTTGGAATTAGATAAGGAAAGGAGATTTTATTCCGCTATAGGGGAATATAGGAATGTTGCCAACTATAGGGGGCAGCATTCCTCTCCAACTCTGAGTTAGATAAGGGTCATCAGAATTCAAGGGGGGATTGAACTTAGTCTGTTTGTGGTTGTATAGGGATTCCTGGCTGACCCCTCTTTTAACTCTGCCCTCTGGTTCTGCCAATTCTTGCCTGCACAAACAGGGAAAAGATGTTAGACATGACTGAGACTGCTATTACAGAAGGAACATGAATCTAGAGTTAGAGAACAAGATAAAGAGAACAGTTAAAGTTAACCATAGGAAATTCACCAAAAATCCACCAAATTTTTTTTGCATTACCACAGGAATGAAATACAACTGGTCCGTTCAAGGAGAAATGCTTCTGCCAAATTACTTAAGCAAACATTTTTCAAACTGTAGTCTGTGGAACTCTGTTGTTCTTCAAAAACTTGAAGGGGTTTTGTGAGAGACTAAGGGCAGGAAAAAAAAAGTTTACTGGAATGAAACCAAGGGCATTCATAGTCATTTTTATTTGCTATTTATAAGGGCTATACTGTGCTTCAGATCTGATTCCAAAAAGGTGTTGCACAGTATGAG